TGCAGACAGGTGAGATGTGGCTGCCCAAGTAGCAAAATTTGTCTACTTCATCTGCTGCTCTTCCAGTTAGTGTAAGGTTTCGGGCCGAAGTAACCCATTCCTGTAGTAACGTTTTACACGTTGAAAATGTGAAACCCTTGTCGAAGATGACCATACTAGCACTCAAGCAATCCACGATAGCTTGCTACTTACTCGGATTTTCACTACTCAGTACGATGTCGTCAGCACGCACCAGATAAGACAGTCGTCCACCCGGGAGTAAATCGATAGCGTTATCTTCGCACGGAAAGGGCCGTTTCCAGAACCAGATCCTTAACAAAGTTGAATAGAAAAGAGAAAGAGAAAAGGTAACCCTGTTGAACACCGCTTTCCATGGTGAACTCGGGTGGAAAAGTGCCGTAAACTCCAACTTAGCTTCGGCTATTGCTGTATTGAAATGAATTCCTCGGATACATCATTCAGCGCCAAGTTCTAGAGCAGCAACTGAGTCGAAAGCCGCTTTCAGGCTGAGGAAGACATAAATTGTGGGTCTACGAAAAGAATTTCTGTGTTCCAGAATTTGGCAAAGAGTAAAAATGTGGTCGATACATCCTCGACCAAGTCTAGAGTCAACCCGATTCTCACGCGCGGAAGACAGTCAATGCAGTATGATGCCGGCGAGAAGTTTAGAGACAATGTTGATTAAACTAATCCTTTCGTGGTGTTCACCATAGGAATAGGTACACTTCTCTGGTGGGTGCACGTGTTGCGCATGTCATACCGTTCGCAAAAGCTGCTCCCAAGTTAATTGTGCTTGATGGAGGCAAACAAATGATGTAAAGAATAATCATCTTGAAATCATTGTCGGAGTAATTGTCTGTTGTCTTCCGAGTTGAGATTCAAGCTACCTTTTATCCAAGTGACTAGGGATACCCAGAGAATTTGAAATGAATTGAGATGGGCGGTTTTCAAGTTTTCAGTTATTTCATCATCATGGTAACTTTAGTAAACGTGTTCATACACTCGTTATCCACAAGTGTATTGTGTATTTTTTTAAAATATTTCTCATATCTCCACTGTTAAAATCGTTAGCCAGTCAGTAGATTTTTCTCAAAATGATTAATCCGAAACAAAGTTGTTTGTTAACGTAACTTCATCTTTCAATACCTCCGAAAGCCTCATCATTTTCGGGGGTGGATATCTCAAAATGCTCCCATGAGATCAAGCGTTTCAAGTAGCCTCTGCTGTGGATGCCCGACTTACTGCCTTCTCGTGACAGAGGTGTTTTCCCACCAAGGTGAAGAAACGAAAAGCCAAATTCCGGGATTGGTGAACCACTGGGGAACTTGGCTAAAAGCTCTGATTCCAAACCAATCAAGAAAGAGGCCTACGGACCATACTGTCGTAATGGAAGCACATACCGATTACGGATCACAAATCACTGTCGCAACTAAAGCACAGAATCGCACCAACCATCGTACGCTGGAATCTCCCGTCACCGAGATGTAGGAAGAAGTTCACAGAAGTAGCGGATCATTTAATGAGGAAAATCAGTGAGATGAAATAAGGTAAAAAAGGAATTTTAGGGGTTATACAGATGTCCACCGATAGCCTGCTTGTATTGTTGATGATGATCTATTCGACTTCTTCGCGCATCCAGTCTACTGCTTCTGCAACTAAAGGCAAACACTCTATACCGCACACA